CTTTTTCTCCTTTTTTGAGTCATTTGCTCTTTTATTATTGAACCATCCTTGCATCCCTGAAATGAATCTTACTTGATCGTGATAATTTTTAATTTGCTATGAAAGTAAATTTTCTAGTATTTTATTGAGAATTTTTACATACATTTTAATTGGAGATATTGCCCTTCTTATTGTTTCCTTTTCTGATTTTGGTATCAGTAATTTTGGCTTTATAGAATAAGTTTTGAATTTCCTACTTTTTAAATATTTTATAATAGTTTGAGAAGAATTTGTATTAGTTATCCCTCAAGCATATAGAAGAATTCAGCAGTGAAGCCATCAGTCATGAACTTTTCTTTGATAGATATTTTTAGATAGTATTATACAATTTCACAAGAAGGTCATAAGTTGCTTCTTACCAAGTCACAACAGTTCTTGAAGAAAAATTATGATCTAAAATATTAGCAATATTGTTCAAGTTTGTAATAGCCAAAATATGGAAACAGCCCCAATACCCATCAACCAGTGAATGGATTTTAAAAAACAATGGTTCTTTTTTTATTCAATTAAGTACTATTATGCCATAAAGAAGAATAATCTTGAGACCTTTCCAGGTAAATGGAGTCATCTTAAGACCATAATCTTAAGTGAAATAAATCAGACACATGTGTGTAAATATCGCATTGTTTCTCTGATGTGAGAAACCAAAAGTGTCAGTGGACCAAAATGTGTAATAATCTGTTTGTCAATAAAACTTTTAGAAAAAAAAAAAAGAAAAGAAAAGATGGAAGAGAAAAAAAAAAAAATAAAATCCATTGCTAAGAAAAAAAAAAAATGTGTAATAGATATTGTAAAATAGGAAGAAAATGTTCAAATGGAAAGGGGAACAAGGGAGGGATAAGTGCAAAGGAAGGGAGGAAGAAGTAAAAAACAAATGAGAAAAGAAGAAAAAATAGAAACAAAGGGGAAGAAGGATTGAAAGGAGGTAGGAGAATGGGAAGAAAAGAATTATATACAGGTACAAATATCCAATGCTAAATTTGATCATCATATATATCTAAAATGTACCAATACAAATCATTTCCTTTTAAAAACAGCATTAGTGTGCCAATTCATTATTATGTTGGTCATCAAACCTCTTCACAAGTCTTTTCTTATTATTTTATCAGCAACATATTTGTAAGAAAAACATGGGAAACTTGACACATAAAATATTTCATTGTTGTTGGTGCTCACATACCCTTAAGTTTCATCAAGATGGTACATAAAAATAGTTGATGGTCTTTTATTTTCAGATATTGCTGCTGTAGAAGAATGGCTAGTAAAGATCACTTTACATCAAGGATTAAATATTTATGCTACTGAAGGAACCTTATTGGATAGTGTTCGAGGTAAGTGTCAGAAGGTGAAAGTAGAATTGAATTCACATATTATTTCAGCAAACTTTGGCATCTACTATATGCCAGACTCTGTGGTAAATCCCAGATGATGAGCCTTGACATGCTCAAATATGACGTGGCAAAAAATTAAATATATATGTATAATTGTCATTAGAGGTCTACGTAGAGTGCTAAAGAAATACAGAAATATATCTTTTATTGTGGCAATTTGGGAGATCATTCTAAATAATCACTATATAAAGTTATTTTTTCATCTTTGTTGTATTGTGAATCTTACTTAAATATTGCTCATTGAATCACATTCTTTTTTATGACAATAACCTGTAAAAAATTCTTACTTTCTTAAAACAGTTTTTTTAAATTAACTATGCATTAGTCAGGCCAGCGAGATAGCTCAGTAGAATAAGCACTTGTCTGGCAAGTATAAGGTCCTGACTTCAATCCCTGGTACCGAAAAAAAAAAAAAAAAAAAAGCATTAGTTGCTTTAAGTTCATTAACAGAGTGGTACAACTAATTACACTTCCTTTTTTCAACTATCTGATAAAAAATAATTTTTGAACCACCTATTGAATTGTGTCAACTGAGAAATCTTCAGAACTAGATCTTCTATTTCCTTTCCTTTTTATTTTTATTATTTTAATCCTGCTTTGATGTGATGCTATGTAAAATACAGAGTAAAATATAAGAAGCATTACATGCTATGAAAAGAATCATTTGACAGCCCTTTTCAAAAGTAAGGATGTATCCAATGGCCGTGACTCATCCACATGGCTGCACTGACAAAGGTTCTACAATCTGAGGTACAGGATCTCAGGATAAATCCTGAGGGTATTTCACTGACCTT